TATATATATATATATATATTGTATATTATAGCGGCCAAATAATTTAATTTCACATTTTTGTTATCACATTAAATTTTGCATTTTTTCTCACTTTTGTTCGTATACACATTCAAATAAAATTAGAATCAGATTAATCGCCACTATATGTAACAAACGGAGATTATTTGGCTAATCCATAATAAAAAAAAAATAAAGCAACGAGATATGTCAAGAGAGGCAATGTTGGTTCGCATGTGACTGGCTTCCTAAAATATCCCACGCGGAAATCCTTTGCGAGGGTAAGGCGAAAAGAGAGTACGTTAATACAATAGAGAATAAAATTGGCACGGTATACGGAGTAGGAATTATTTCCTGGCAGTGGACAAAGTTGAACAAAGATCGCACCGCCGGATGTTATATTCGCAGAACTGCAGTGCGATAACTGTTCTACGGTCTATGTAGGCACGTGCGTTTACATAACAACGCTGAGGCACGAATAGGAGGGCACAGACCGAAATGAATACGCTCTTCCCCCCAATCGTACCGCTCCATCATTCTTCGACGTTTAAATTTAGCATCCGCTGTTCTCTCTCTCTCGTTTCCACGAACGTTTCAATGGGTAAATTCAACGGCGTCGAATTCGGCATCATTGTGGCATTATAAAATCACTTCCGTAAATCTCTCTCTCTCTCTCTCTCTCTCTCTCTCTCTCTCTCTCTCTCTTTCCTACAAAAATACAGATGAGATATTAATTTCATTCGCTACTTAGTAATACGACACAGTAGCGAGGATGTGCCGTGAATTCGACACTTGTCTTGCACGAAAGAGGAAGTTCTGTTAAATTTATGGTGTTATATTAGCTGCGACAGAGAGTGAAGAGAAATGCATTTGAGAAGAAGAATTATCGAACGGACGATATGATAAGAATGCTAAATAACTTAGATTATACTTGGATGACTTTACTCTCCCACACATATGCACACACACATACACACACACACACACATGTGAGAGGTCGGCGCGAGGCAAAGGATACATACGACGTCACGTATCGTTTGTCAGGCCATATCGTAGAGCGTAATAACGCGATAACATTGAAGGCATTCGAACGGCGAGGAGTCGGTGCATATCGTCACGTTTGTACGCGCGCAACGTTCGCTCAGACTTGCGTCTCGCTGCCGGAATGATGAATTCGGTGCTTTCGATGCTTCTTATAGTTCCTGTGCGGCATCTGCGGATTCGTGATCGGGTGCTGATGCAGCAGGGGATGCTGCTGCGGCGGCGTCAGATGATTCAGATGGTGAATCTGATGAGGCACGGGACTGGCGGCGGCCCCAGCGCTGTAACAATGCACGACCGGCACCGGATGGCACTTCCGCGGCGGTTGCTTACAGTGCGATATCCTGCGGCATATGCTCGCCGCCTCAGGCCACCAGATCCACGCGGCGGTCATGATGCCGGCGCTAAGGGTCACCACTAGTCGCAGCACGAAAACCTGCAGCAGAGGTCGGGAGGGCACGCGCGGCGTCGTCGACGGTTCCGGCGCTCGCAGCCACGTCTCCCTTCCCCACCACTCGTAAAAGCTCGTGCTGGCCAGGCAGATCATCAAGGCGGCGTAGAGCCAGCCGAATATACCGACGCGCGTCAACAGCTGCTTCTGCCGGCGTTGCATCTCCGCCGGGGACGATTTACCGGATATCTCGCGCGTACGCATCAGCGGGTTCGCGTGAGACGCCGCTAACGCGGTCAGAGCCGCCGTCGCCGACGACGAAGAGGACGAGGACGACGTCGGTGTCGTGGTGGGCGTTACTGCCGGACGTCGCGGCAGCATCAACGACGCTAGGCCGACCAACAAGAACGTCGTGCCGAACGACAAGTAGACGAACTGAGGCGCCAGCACTAGCACGAGCAGAGAATGCGTGTTCTGCTGGCCGACGAAGCAACTAGCTGCAACAGAAAAAAAAGAGATATCTCAGCAGGGAGAAAGTCTCGAGATACGAACGCGTGTTCGCAATGATGGATTGAGTAATGATTAATGAGAGAAATCAAGAAAGGTGCGATGTCACGTTCGGGAGATTATTCGCGCGAGCTCTGTCCCCCCTTGAAAAAATCACGCACGAGACACGCGGGATGCAAAATCCGAAGGATCTGGCTTGAAGGGAATCCGACTAAAAACCCTCTTGTGCGGAGATCAGAGCCTTAAAGCTGCGGTCGGCTGTTGGCCCTATCGGCGGACAGTGACAAGTTGCGGGGCAAGTTTGAAGATATTTGCATTGAATGTCGCCTCTCCTGTTAGAGAGAGAGAGAGAGAGAGAGCACCTCGACTAACCGGGTTTGTTCCTTTACTACACGCGCGCGCAGATGGCTTCGTAACTTCTCGAAATGCCGCCAGCAAATTGACTCGATTGCATATACGAGAATATGCAAATTCTGCACGGCGAGTCGACCCTCGGACGTTTACGGATATCGCGCGCGAGTTGTCGCCGCGAGAACGGCGTTCAAACGTCCGAATAACTGTATCTCGTAAAGACAATTTACGGCACAATTCGAGATATGATTTGGAGCATGCGGACAATACAGCGCGCTATAGTATATCGGAGAGCGCACGCGAAAGCATTTCGTTCTTGCTCCTCGGATACGCCGTGAGAATTTTTAGCCGAGACGAGAAAGAGAGAGAGAGAGAGAGAGAAAGAATGCGGTAGATTCGCCGCGCCGTCGATGGTAGGCATCGCTGACATTCCTCTCGCGATCTACGAATCGACCTAATCGACCCAATTTTATTTTCTCCCCCCCCCCCCTCACTGCCCNCCGCGCGGTGATGAGCATCGCGCACGTGCGTGCGTGCGTGCATAAACATGCGATAGATTCCGAGCTTACTGGCACGGAGAGCAATTGTGTGTAATTCTAACAATCGTGAGAGACGAGTTTAATAAGCCCAGAAATTTCCTGAAAAAAAAAAAGAAAATGATAATTAACGTTACAATGTGCCGTGCTGTATTTGCTCACGTCTCTCGTATTTATTCAATTCGGGAATAAGTATAGTGGTCGTAAAAGTAACCGAAGGTTATACCGGCGTTGCCGCGAGCCCGGTCGTTTAATTCAAAGATGCTAATCTCGGTCGGTTGCCTCCCGAGCATAATTTATCGGGAACATAAACACGAGAGAGCGGCGGGTATTAGCATAAAGTAGCCTCAGCTGGACCGCTCGAATTAAGATAGATTGGAGGGGAGGAAACAAGAAGAACAGAGACACGTAGATACACGTAGATAGACGAATAGATAAATGGGCGAGTGCGGATGAAAAAGGAAAACAATTACCGCCGAGACTAGAAAGAGGAAAGGAGAGAAAGAGAGAGAGAGAGAGAGACGAAGAGGAAACCCATCGCGAATCGAGCAAGTTCCGCGGATCCAACTACGCCAATGGAGCAACCTCATAAAACAAACGGTATAACGAGGCGTGGTCGTAAAGCCCTCCGGGCACTCTTTTTAGAGGCTGACCAACGCGAGTTCTAAGATCGCGCGCGCGCACGAGATTGGTTCGGGCAAATGCTGGGTCTCAAGCGAACTGAAAAATCCAAGAATCCGCGCCGGGCGAAGAATTAATATCCGTGAGCGAGGTCGAAGGGCATCGGGAACGCAGACGCGATGTGGAAGGAGGGAAAAAAGGGTAAGAAAGAACGTAGGTGATCCATGATTTGACAGGATCCTCTTTCCGTCCCTACGGGGTCGGAGGATCTGACGCGGGACAACCTACCGGTCAACTCGTCAGCGTCGACATCCCTTGTGACCAGAACGGCGATAGTATGCGCGGCTGGCAGACCCCAAGCCGCGACCGCGGCGATAGTTGAGAATCCCTGTTGCGGTCCGAAACCATCCTCCTTGCAGTTGCCGGCCGTCCTCGTCCATTTTCTGGCCATTATGCACCACCACGCGCATATCACGACCCACCTGCGATCGCAAATCGTATCGAATAACACGGAGGAACTCTTAGGTGTTTCGTAGCAGCGATTCGTTCGATTACTCTATAGTCCTGGAAGCGAAAGTATAAACGACTTCAGGGCGGATTTCAAGGGAGATACAATTATTGCTGAAATATACAAAGAGAGGTAAACAAGCCCGACACAGCCCGGTGGTGTCGGTTCCAATTCTTTCTCTCGACCGTGCCTCTAACGATAAACTGTTCGAGTCGGTTGTACGGCCCTGCGAGACCCTTACAGCAGAATAAAAGAAGGCAGGAGACGCGTAGAAAGGGACGAAAGTGACTACACGCGGTACGTACGTGCATGAGAGTGAGACGGAGTGACACGACGAGGCTGCCGAGAGTGTTTGCGCCTCGTTTGACCTGTTCGCTGCTTTTCGATCTTGTCGAAGACTCGCGTGATTAATTAGTCGGCTTTTCACTGCAACTCGCTTTCTCGACAGACTGGTTGCCGGCCGGCCGGCCGGGGGGGAAGGATTATAGTCAGCAGGGAGCTATTGCAATGTGCAGTTGCACGTGCGCGTGCAACGACGCATGCTGGCGCGAAGATGCGTTCTGTCTCTCACACGACCAACGCACAAATGCACACACGGCAAAACACGCACACATACATATATATATACGCACACACTCTTGGACCATTGTTCGTCCAGGTTTCGAGATGAAACGGTTCTCAGCGTGTCGACCAATTCCGATTCGTCGCTCTCTCGAAATGATTTTTACCGTGAATTTATATTTACGCGCCCATCGTGAGGTAAAATAAGACAAATGGCACCTGGAAGTCGACATGAACAAACAATTAATATAATACGAATAAATTTATATGATTAAATGTAAAAAGAGAGACAAAGGCAAATATAATTATATACATAGTGTTCCAGATCAACGTGAATAAACTTAGGGAAGGCATAGAATGGATTAAACTGAGCAGGAAAGTCCTCTACCATTTTGCGAACAACACGCAAAATTTTGAATTGTTAATTATTGAAAATGGTCATGTATAACAAATTTGCACGTTATTTGTGAAATAGTAAAAGATTTTTTTTGTTCAGAATGGCCTAATCTAAGTATATGATAGTTGTACTTAACGACAGACATCAATATGTTGAACTTCGAACCTGTCGCTAGATACAACAGTTGTCATATGCTTGTAGATTAAGCCACTCTGAACAAAAAAGTCCCTTACTATTTTGGAAATAACACGCACATTTTTAAGTTATTAATTAAAAAAGCCGGTATACACGACTATTTTCAATTATTAATAATTTCAAATTTTTTCCGCTCAGTTTAACCTGTTCCACGTCTACACGCAGTTCGTTCGTGTTGATCCGGGATAGTCTGTATAACTCATGCAACTTTAATATTATTTTTAATAGTAATTTTCAACAGTTCGTATTATCGTTACAGTAATGTAAAAATATTGTTTGTGATATGCGGATTGACTTGACTTCAGACCTCACTGCGGACTTCTGAAAACCAGTCTTATGAGGTAGCCAACCTCTCTTCGAATGTTTGCCGCCGCTAGTATTTACCGAGTGGACAACGGTAGCTGTGTCTCTTGGCGCGGATTTACACGATCTACGGCTCCACCGACATGTAACTCTCACACGTTCGCCGTGACGCTTCTGAGAACGTGATAAAAAAGCAAGTAACGATTATTCGCTTTTTTCACAAACACATTTCTAAATACCGCCTTGGAAGATACCGTTGTTTTCTCTCTCCCTCTTTTGCAAAAGAAAAAAAAAACATACGGAAGATACTTTGGGAGTGTTGAGCTCGATGTCTCTATTAAAGGATTCCTTGTTGGAATGAACAACAAAGAAGCTTGAAATTATGGAACGTAGAGGTGGAAGGGGATTAACGCAATCGAGCGAGATTCGGCTGGTTCGCTAATTCCTCTGCCCCCTTCTCGCGCTGTCCCCTCGGAAAAGCAAAAACTTGCCCGACAAATTCCGGTCGTGCGGTGTGATGAATGGAGTGACGCGGTGCACACGCGTGACGCACGATGCACGATTGGCTTTTTGCGCCCGTGGAACGCCGATGAGAAAAAAGAAAGGGCAGGAGAGAAAAACTCTAAAGAGACGCGTTAACACCTCGTGAGATTCCGCCGATTTCTTCGCGAATCGAGCACACCGGATCGAAGGAAAGTTGGGAGGTTTGACGAGGATTGCACGGTTGCAAAAGGGGAAAAAAAAGGAAAGGGAGGATAGACGCATATACGCAAGGAAGGGGAGAGTGAAGTTGCTCGACATTTTCCCGTTTAGCAAAATCGATCGGGGCACAATTTAAATGCGATCGTGAGGAGCTTAATCTCGTCGAAGTATGCGTAATAAGACCGATTAGTCTCGTGATGGCACGAGATTTCTCTCCCTCCTCCCGTAACCGCCGATACAGTTGGGTGGTCGGTGGCCGGAGCACTCGCAGTTTCCGTGCAACTCCGACGTGGGGGGGAGGAAGAGGGAATGAGAAAAGAAAGAGAGAGAGAGAGACTACATAACGACTCGCTAACTAACAAAACAAACAAGAGGTAGCTAGTGCCCCTCTCATCTCATCTCGTTGATTATATACCCCGCGGGCCCCCTATACACGACGTTGCCTCCTCCTCGCGTTTCTCCACTCGCTCGCTTCGTCCCGTCTCCCCCTTTCCGCCAGCCTTTCGTGACGAATTCGGAAAATCTGACGAGACGGATGCAACCGCACTCTCGCGTGGTCCAAGTTACTTATGCACCGAACGCGATCTCCCCCGTGTGATCGGCAGGACCGTTCGCGTGAGGAAGCGCGAAAAAACGCCGGGGGCCTCTCTCGTCGGTGATACCGAACTCGCCGTTCTCCAGTATTATCGCGCGAACGCACGACACACGGAACGCAAACAAGTCTGACTAGTCGTTAAGAGGCCCTTCGGCCGCGCGTACCACGTGCTTCTCGAGACGTATCTGCGAAAGAAAGAGATCACATGAGTCCCCAGATTCACGCGCGATTGCTCTTCTTACTACAATATATGGACACGCCGGCTGTGCTTGGTACGTGAGTGACGAGCCGGACGATCTTCCGTCTTCCTCGGCAGAACAGACGGGGAGCAGGATGCTTTGGATAATGCCGGCGGCTTGTTATCGAGGCCCCGACGGCCCTGACGGGGCCCTGTTCTCCGTTGGCGCGCGCAATCGACGGTGGAGCTGCTCTTATCTCGGATAAATTATCGAGAAATTCTCGGATCCGGGTCCTTAAGCTTAAGGCCCCGGCCGGGCACCGCGAGAGAGATGATGGATCAGCTCTTTCCTCGAGCCCCTTTTTTCAACTTATCCTTTTTCCCTCGTTCCTGAGACGGCCGTCAAACTCTTCGGAAGGGGGAGGGCGGGAGGGTGGAGCGAAAGAAGGAGAGAAAAAGAGAGAAACGGAAACGCGAAACTGCCGGACTACCTACCACCATGGGGCCCCGTATACGATCCTCTCTGTCAATGGCGTAGCATCGCCGATTATCGATTCGTTTCTCCGGACACACGGGAGGATCTAACGAGGGCCGCGAGCCGTGCTTTGCATTACAAATTTCGGCGCATTAACCCTCTCCGGGCCTGCGGATTTTTCAGTCTATCGATACCTCGGATCTCTCTGTAAATACAGCAGTTTGCATTTAATTCCAAATTCCTGCGCGAACGCGCGTTTGTTATTCGTACTTTTGATGGTGTATTCGAGTCCAGGGAAAAGTGGATATAAACAGAGGGAGCGAGCAGAGTTCGCCAGTTGCTAATTTGCACAGACAATCGACGCGACTTCAGACAGAGCTGGGTCCACGAAAGATGTCCAGGAGCTCGAAGAGCTGCGATTTCTTTTATCTGCGCAGATATCTCGACTTTATAGTCGGATCTTTTTCGTGTAAACCTTCCATACGTTAGAAGGAGTCTAGAGAGGAGGAGGAGAGTGGTAAAAAGCGAGACAGGACAATGCACGGCGAGGGCTGGGAGGGCCCTATGGGTCCATGGTGCATGACTTCGTGTCCGCAGGGCGCGATGTTTATCGGCTCTTTCGATGTAAATTATGGCCATACGCTACACAGTTCGCTACACCGCGGCGCGCAAAAGTACCCTGGGACCCGAAGTCCAGGGTCGGATCTTCGCGATTGGCCTCAACCGAAAAGACGGCGTATCGAATTCTCTCGTCCTTCTGGACGCGAGAGACGCGGACTGAGAAATGCATGCGGATTCCTCGAAACGGGGATAAACGCGGACCCGAGATCGAGAGAAACGATGAGAGACGAAGGAAATCGCGAAAACAAATTTCGAGTTCTCATGGGTCCTCTTATACGGTGGAATTTATGTTGAAATTATTCGCACATCCGAAGGGAGAGATCTACGGCGCGAGACCGTCGAATTCGCGAAACTCATTTGCAAAATCGCAACCGCAAATTGCGCCCATGCATTGTGAATCATCTTGTTCTTTACTTGGTCCGAAGCGCCGTGTTCGTCTCCCTTCTCCTTGCCTCTCTCTCTCTCTCTCTCGTTCTGCTTTTCTCGCCCTTTCTCCCTCCTTCACGAAGCAGCTTGCTTTCTCTAAGATGGAATGCCATTGACTCCATGCATATCTGGCAACAAGGTTCCTCTCGACCCACCTTATATACCGGGTGACCCTCGTTCAATCGGGGATCAAAAGGTCTGTGGATGTAGAGATCTGAAGGCTGAGAAAGATTCGATGGTTTTACGGCTCGTGAAGGTGAGGGCTTGAAAATACCAAAGATACCAAAAAATCTAGACGCTGAAAGGCTTTGAGGTTCTCGGATCGAGCTTGAGAGGCCAAGGGTTCAATGAAGACATAAGAATCCCGAGGAACAACTCTCTGCTTTCTTTTTTGCAATATGAACACTTGAATCCGTAATATTTCTCTCCCGTAAATTCCTGTAATTTGCGATCTAGAGATACGCGCTCCTATCGCGTTAAGAGAGGATATTTTCTCATAAAGTACATTCCGGGATTACTTCGTTGGCATAAATCCGACAGGCCATAAAGCAATTTTACATCATGCGGTAGTATCATCGAGCACGCGGACGGGCAATTTTTTGCTCATGCCACCCGTTAGACGCGTTAAGATGAGCTTCTCAGCATAAACGGGATGGGATGGGATGGGACGAGATGGGAGTCAGAGGCTCGTTAGCGGCACGAGGGGAGTCAACACTGTTGCCAGATTGTTATCCCTACCTCCGACGATGCAGTTTCGCGAGGCAAGCGCAACAAGGCGCTCTGCAACAACTGACAACTTCGAACATCATGCGAGTATCCTTCGGTTCTCGCATCCTATATGTAATTAAAGTCAAACAATAAAGTAACAGGAAGATCCCTTGAAATTTCCCGCAGCCGTTCGTTAACGGTGAGGCAGCGAAGTATCTTGCGTCGTTTATACACGTACGATAAGCTAAAAGACTTTCGAGTAATCCGAACGATAGATTCAGAATCGGTGATCTTTTGTCACATCAAAGGGTTGTGTAGTAAAAACTCACCAGACAATCGCAGCGTTTCCGAAGTAATACAGTAGCAAAAACACGACAGCGCAGTAAGGATTAGCTAGGCCATCTTGCGTGAGGTATTGTTGCTGCTGCTGTTGTTGAGACAAGGTTACTTGATCCTGCGGATGCAGCGGGATCGCAGACGTACAGGCGACGTTCAGACGGCCAGCCGCCAGACGAATCACATAACCGATCGCGACCACCGCATGACAGACTGTCAAGAAGATTATTGCACGTTCTGCGAGCAAACGGTTATTTTTGTTAATTAAGGTGATCCAAGTTCTGGGGAACTTGGATCTGATAACTTTGGAGAATTGCTCCAGGAACCGATCGAGTGGCAATACTCGGGGGTCCTGAGAATCTTAAAAAACAAAGATCCGTGATCAAAGTAGAGAGTAGCGTACGAGCTTTCTTGTTATTTCATTTGTGAGGATGTTCCTGCCTCGCAAAGAGATTCTCACCTGCGGTAGTGGTTAATACCGGTTGTTTGCGCGGCTTCAGAAGAGTCAGGATAGCGACCGCGACGGAGGCGAGGCATGCTGCGGTGAATATAGTCATCCAAGCCTCTGTGAGTTTCTTGTCTTTTTTGGACCATAGGATATCAGCGTCGCAAGCAGCAGCACATCTTCCAGAACGATTCAGGAAGATGTATAACCCGGACTTGGCGTACCAGGAACAACCCCAAGGTCCGTTACTGGCGCCTATCGCCTGAAAATAGCAAATTCGATTTTGAAGGAAAAATGTGATATTTCAATGAAGTCTCTTCAAATATTCTTAAAGTACTTTCACAAATCCAACAATAGAAGTGGTTTGTGTTTTCTATTTTACGTTATTTCGAAACTAATTAAATAATTTACTAGCTCTGAGTTAAAGTTTACAGCTTTATGGAAATTTAATAATTTTTTTTAGTAAACCTTGTCATAAATAGAAGTGTAATAATAGAGTAACTATATTTTTGTATAGTCCACAGATCAATCATATTGATTACTTTATAAACATCATTTAATTAGTTAAACTATTATAAACTATATACCTGGATAGGATTAACTGGTCCAGGTTCGCCAGGTCCTTCCATGCACATATGATGGTGATTGTTTTCTGGTGGAAATTTGGAACAGTTCAATGCAGCTGGCCAAGGAAAACCAAATCCTTGAAGAACCGGAAAGCACCGGGCTCTCACTTGCTCGCATAGGCCTCTGCAAGGTCCAATGGGTGAAGTAACCTTGTCAGTGCACATTGGTGCATATACTGAGCATAGGAATAGATGTAGTTGTGCACTGTAATAAGTTAGAAACATTATTAGTTTTCATACAGTAAGTAGCAATTAAGGAACTAAAAACTAGATGACCAATAGTATAGTAAAGTTGTTTTGCGTATGATCACAACAGAAGAACAAGCCAAAATACAGAAATATCATATCAGATTTGCTTTTAACTAAATCTTTTATTGATAAAAACTATTCAAGCAATATTGTTTCTTATTCTATAAATTATATACACATCTACAATTTAAAATTATATTACACATCTATACAATAATTTGCAGTCATTCAAAGTATTTATCACTTATGCGTATTGTGTTAGTATATTACGTTTGGTATCATGAAGAAGAGAAATTTTAAATATATAATTTTAATTCTATTTTTTTCGCAGTGAAGTTAGAAAATTGTAGCCGGTTAACCTCAAAATATCACAGAACGTAACAACCGAAACACACATCACGGTCTAATTCCCGACAATTTATAAATATGGTCTATTAATTCAATGAAAACACGACGAACTAAAGACCAAACACGTGATTATTATGACAGCAAGTTGCAAAACAACGTACTCTCATTTCTCATCTCCGTCAAGAGCAAACACGTCAGATCGAAACGCAAACTGAAGTTCACGCCAAACTTTATTTCCGCGAATTGATAAAAAAAGCCCGCCATGAAAAAATAATTCAAACAATATTACTCTGACAGTCATTTTCGTACAGGTAAAAACGTTGTATTCATACATTTTTTGATGAAATAAAAAGAGAGCGTTATAACTACGACGTGCAACATACATGAAAAAAAAAGTATTGTTTACCTGCATCCGTACTGAATGAGCGGACTGAACGTCTGCAAGGTAAAGTCAGCATCGCCTTGAATCTCGTGGCCAACCAGATTTGGCATGGCGGTGACGTTATAGCCGAGACCGCGGCACATTTCGATCCGGATTGGCTCGCAGGCGCCGTGAGCGCACCATATCGTACGCACCAACATCAACAACAAAATCCAATACATATTTCCCGCATGAAAAACTTTGACAAAATCGTTTCTATCACTCTATCTCCGTAATTTGTACTGTATATTCCGGCAGGTCCAATCGATCGGTCGATGTATCATCGAAATATCGATCGTGCATTATGTGCGGAAGTTCAATTCGAAACTGAAAAAAAATAAGAGGGCATAAACATAGGAAAAAAAAGATACAAATATATACGCGCGTGAAAAGATGATTTCAAATTTTACCGAATTAAATTGACTTCAATTGTGAGGGGAAAATCAGACGAAGGATAATTTATAATATATACGAAAATAAGGAAACGTGAAAGAAAGCTCAGCGTTAAGTGAAAAGTCAGAATTCGATTACGAGTCGTGTGAAGACGTGCCTCTTAAATTAATGAAGATCTAACTCTGTCCTTCATTAAAGCGGAACTTCTTCCTTCTCTTAATTACGGTCCCGTCGCGGCTTCATTTAACGAGCCGTCAAATCCGATCTCGGCTCAACGAGCGTTTTCATTAACTCGTTTGTGCATTAAACGAGATTAATTTAACTGACTTCTTCGTGACCGGTGCGGCCGCTTGGTTTTAACTTAATCAAGATACAACGACCGAGAGACAGATCGACGCGATAACACTCCCGAGTTTACACAACACGAATTGCACTCGATACAACGGCGATTGTTTTGGAGTCGTGAACTCGGCAAATAACTCTCACGATGAACGTTAAACTTTGTTCCGATCAATCCGTATTTCGTTATCCTCGCAGAAAACTTCTTCCTCGGAACAATTCCCCTTCTTCCCTCTCCCAGACATTCGTTCCTCTTGAGAACACAGTTTCCTTCGTACCGTGTCTTCGTTTCCCCTTTTCCAACGTTCAACTTCGGTTTCTACGGAGAACCTCGCGAAAACGGCCGACGTTTTTTCGCGAGAACGAGTCCGCGCGAACGAGAGATGCTGTTTGCGGGGGATTCGCGCGAACGCACGCACGCGCAGGCATGCACGCACGCACGTACGCACGCATGCACGCACCAGTGATTGAAATAACGTAATTGACCGCAATATATCCACCGGCTGGCACGTGACAGCCGCGCTCGCGTTCGAAGTGAGCGCGGGAGCTACGGGGTCTCTCCGCCGTGCGGAGAGCAGCGCGGAGATACGATCACAAAGACGACCGCATAATCACTCGCGACTTCACACGGTAACGTCACGTGCTCGCCGCAGTATCGTCCAGTCGCGGCGAGCGGTCGCATGTGCCGTGCCGATCACATCGTACGAAAGCATCGCGGGCGGAAATTAACGGGTCAAGCTGAACGCGCAACCTCCTCCGACACCCAAGGTTTCCGTACGACTAAACTCGGAACGCCTGATCGCGCCCCAGCACGACGTCTGTTTATCCCCCCTCTTCTTCTTCGCTTCTTCGTGGAGCGTTCTAGCTTCTCCCTCCCCTTCAGGATTTCCATCTGTGCTCCTTCACGGGCGCGCACGTGTGCGTATATACGGTACGCATGGTGTGTGCGCCCCTTGTGCGGCGATCGAGCCGATCAGCTCGATCGGCTCCAAACTCTTGCACTCGTCACGCTCGTCGGATCAGTTTTTAAATAGCATATCTATAATTAATTTGCGAGAGCCCGGAGAGCTATGGCGAACGGACGTGCGCATTGCAAACGGCGCGGAGATTGTTATTCCTCAAAATAAACCGCAGACCGGCGAGACGATGCTGACTCAGCGTAACTAAATACATATTAGACGCGTGGGATATCTAACAAGCGCTGACATTTGACATTCTCGTGATGAAAGACGAGTTTTTTCGCCAGTTCTCCTTCACATACGCGAGATTCACAACGGTGAAATTAGAAGGAAGGGGGGGAGGGGAGGCGAGCAGCAGCAGCAGCACTTTCTCATTATCATATCCCGATGTTTGGCAGCAGTTAAGGCCGGCTTTATGGGCTGTATTTTCTTGGTATAATTGGGCCCACAGCTCGGGCCCTTCTCTCATTCTCGTTCCCCATCTCGCTCTCTTTCTCTCTCTCACTGCTTCCTTGCGATTCCTTCTCGCTTGTCTGGCGCGCCCTGGCATTTATTATAGGGTATCCTCCTTTCTCTCGTTCTTCGCTCGGGCAGAAAAATTTATTAGCGCGGGCTTGTGTAAACAATAGCGTCGCCACGATGCTGGCCTCTCTCTCTCTCTCTCTCGGCAAAGAATTCGCGCGATCGATTAAATGTGAAAGCTTATACTTACTCGAAGCTTCGTCACGTCGTTCCGACACGTGCAATCATACGCTCCTCCGCAGTGTTGTTAAAAAAGGAGATCCTCGTCTGCGTCACCGAAGATCGAATTCGCATCTTGTGCCGTGCGATGAAGGGATACGGGGTTACGTCCCTCTCGCTTCATTTTCTGTTCTCGCACCTTCTTAAGCCGATAGAATTCCTCTCTCTCGTACTCGTCGAGTTCGGTAGCCACGTACACGAGGGTCCGTTCCAATCGGGGTATGATGATATGCCGAAGAGCGTTCACACGACGTTTAGTTGTCTTAATCACCCGGTCGAGGATTAGAAAATTATGCTGCAGCGACGCCAACTCCACAAGCAGCTCGATCGCTTTGCCGTAATTTTTTTTCAGTTTAGCCACCTGTTGACATGTATGAAATAGTTAATCGATCGAATAGCTTATTTTTGAGCTGTTTCAAGTTTGTTGTAACGTTAAAAAGAACCGAGATATTGCGAGTTGGACGTGCAAGTTCGTCGATTGCCTTCAGCGATACGACGTCTCCTTGTTAATCACCTGTTGACCTCCTCTGGCCAGACCGGCGAGCTCGAAGGGATCGGAGCCGGCACGAAGGGGCTCATAAATCCGCAATCGAACTCCACCAATGATTTCCTGTCGGGATTGGATTCTCGTGCTAGCCGTGTCGACCGTCTGCAGCACCAGCTCGTTTATACCACCTGTCACGAAATTGACTTCGGCCAGCGAGAAGGCTGCGTCTCTCATGACTTCGCCGAGCCGCGGCTTCGTTTCGAGCAACCGCGACAGAATCGCGCGAAAACGAATCGAGAGACCGTCGACCTTCTTCTCGAGAAGATCACGACCCCTGCGTGCGCAGGTCAAGCGGCATTTTACGCTTAATTGCGAGCTGGTTGTTGGGAAGACCGCCAATCTGTCCACAATTTCCATGCGGATCTTCTGAGATAATAGCCGGTGACTTGTCGTCCATCTTTGGACGACATAACTTTGTCGATTGTTTCGTAAAATTTGAATTTTTCAATTTAAACGTTCGAGGAATTAAGTTACTGGAAGTCAAGGTTTCCCATGAGCATCGGTGGTTCAGTGGTAGAATGCTCGCCTGCCACGCGGGCGGCCCGGGTTCGATTCCCGGCCGATGCAAGTTTTTTTTTATTTTTAGTGCGTTATCCCTTTTGCCTTTTTTGCTCTGAGATTTGTAACGTGAACAATTTTCAATAAACTAGCTAACGCAAACTTAAAATATTACTTAACACTTTTCACTCGAGGGCTCCGGAGCGGAGCCATTTAAAATTTGTCTTCAAACTCAGATGCAAATAGCAAGAGCGGAATATCCTATACACAATAGTTTTTACGATTTGTCTTTGTCCTTATGTTATGAACTGAAAATTATTTGCATTGTCTCCATAGCGGAGCCCTCGAATTTGAAGACAAATTTAAAATGGCTCCGTTCCGGAGCCCTCGAGTGCAAAGGGTTAATATATACATTTATTATATACATTTATTCATTTCACTCAACAAAAAATATAATAAAAGAATACAAAAAGAAATTTATCTAAAAAAGTTTCTTCATATTATTTGCGTACTTATGACGTATTTATGATGCGCCAACGCAACTGTTCGTAGTTTCTTTTAAGAGATAATTGTTTGCGAATTATAAAATAAATATGCAATCCTCTGCCCGTGAATGTTTAAAAAAATTATCTGAATAGTTAAAAATAATAATTGAAGAGAAACAAAAAGGAAATCTTGCATCGGCCGGGAATCGAACCCGGGCCGCCCGCGTGGCAGGCGAGCATTCTACCACTGAACCACCGATGCTCACGGTCAATGGTGTTTATTGCATGGTTGATCACGTGCATTCAAACCTACATAAAAATCCTAAATGTTATTAAAGATTTAGTTATAATAGAGATGAATTAAAAAAATATGTATATGTGTATAAAATATTGAAAGATGCATCATTTCTTCGATATTAAGAAAAATAAGCGAAGTTCCACAAGTGGTAACTTCTATAAAACTAATAATAACGAAACGATTCAAATAGCATTTTATAGTTTGAAATTTATCATAATTTTTGCTGAAGTTACAGTCCGTTAAATTTTGCCTGTTTTCTATTATAGAGTAAAAGTGCATCTGAGTCGATGTCTTTAGATTAATTGTTTAATAATAAAACTTGAAAGTAAAAAGATTTTATAACTTACCCCGTTGAGAGAGAATTGTAAAATTTGAAAATAAAAATACATCTAATCGGCCGGCAAATTGTATTGACCTCAATTTTTCAGTAGATACGGTGGCGGCCCATAGCGAAGATTTTCGAACTAATATGAATAACGGATCTAATCGGCGTAAATGTCGGTCTATAATAGGTATTTTATGCCTTAAGCCTTAAAATACCTATTGTAGACCGACACTAATGGGATAAGACACAGCAAAAGGTCATTTAGCCGTAAAAATAACGGGTCTAATTTCCTTAGTGTAATTGCACTACTAGCATTTCAAACCTGAAATGTTTATTAAACTTTTATTAGATAGATAATTAATGATATAACAATTATATAGTATATAATTTTTATATACACAAAAATAGTAACGATTACTCATAAACAATTAATCTTTTGGTAAACTTAGTGATTTAAATCCCAATACTGCTCGCCGTATTCTCCTCTTTTATTACCCCATTTGATCTAAAATACAACACATCATTTTTAAATTAAAACAAAAATTATATTAAAAGGACTAACACAGAGTAAAATAATAACGCGATGATTACCTTGCCACTATGACGATTGTTATCGAAGTCCTTCCGCTCGAATCTTTGTTCCCATTCATTAGGATTCTCACAAACATGACCAAACTCAACTTTGAGAGGTGCCAGATGTTCGGAAAATATATCTCTGCATTACATAAAATTGACGTTATAAAAATCCGTTATAAAAATGGTTTCCCAATTATTACATCTTGCACACAATATTATTACTTACTGAAAATACTGTCCTGTCGACAAAATATCGGTTGCCTTCTGCTTTGAAGCTCCTGTCCTTTCGTGTGCAGTTTGCGAATCCGATCCTAATTAAAAACAGCCCTGATTTAAAAAAAATATATAATTGCGTGATTGAATTATAGGCTATACATTGTGTGTTACTTGCCTGCCGAAGTTTTCTCTGAAAGTTTTTTCAATAAACCGGCCGCGACGAAATTTACAATGAGCATTACTGTTGCTATTTGTATGAAAAATAAATTAAGACTATATTTCCTGCGCATTGTTAGAGTTAGTAATAATCCAAGATCTCTAAGCACTTAACTCGCTGTGAACAATGCTAACAGTTTTACGACTGCGTACTGAATGTTCATTGAATAGGTGAAATTGTGACTCTCATAACTCTGGCAAGTTTTTTTGGACGCTACGCTCTATTTAGTACAATAGTGAAAGTACAATACAGTATAATATCATCGATGCGGAGAATTTGCATGTGATATAAATGTCTAGTTTGTAAAAGAGCATACGTTGCAACAAATATAGTACACAATTCTATTTTAAATATTACAATCCTATTTTTTAAATAATATTTTATTTATTTTTCTATATAAATTACTATCAACACAACAAAACGCAGGAATTGTTAAACATAAATTAAGCATTATTTTAGTTCTGCTTATCTGCTTTCGATTATTTATCAAAAGACGTTGCTAAGAGGTTGCTATGTTTTGCGCACTTCATCAGAGATTGAATTAATTTAACAAATCCAGTATCCTTTGGCTTCTCCAGGCCGCGAAGAACACGATTCTTCATCACTGCTACAAACTCCCGATTGCTAAGTTGTCCATCCACTACAAGAAACAAAATTAGAGTTAATTTTAGCATTATAAGATACAGCTTGTATATTTATCGCATCGCAGGCGATGCAACATGCTGATGTTATGACTTACAGAAAAGTAGATTTATTGTCTTTTGCAGTAGCCAGTAATTGTAAATAGCACTACGTAACAATCTATTAATAGAAATCAACTTACTGTTTTCGTCGAAAATCGTATATACCACTTGGATAATATGATCACTTAGATCGACATGTGCGACGGTTTTGGCTACGTGTTTTAGTGTTGCTGTAACAGACATCGTATATAACATATTATACATACAAGTATATAAGTAAAAAAAAATACAATATTCAACCGTTATCCCCTTAATATATTTTAATATCATTATATCTAGTATAAATAATTTTTTTTTTTAATAATTAATTATCAATACCTTGATCGATAGATGCGCCAGCTATATGATAGAACGTCAGGGCTGTGTCAACATCATTAATGTTATTGAGGAAATGGAAAAATTTGAGATACTCTTCTTTGCTGATACCCTGTGGGTCTTCCTTAAACCTATGAGCATTTGATATTCAAGTATACAGTGATGTAAAAATCTTAGTTTCTTAAAAAAAAAAATATATATATATATATTTGAATATACTTCCGCACTCACATTTTCTTCACTCTCTTCAGCATTTTCGCTTTCTTCTTAGCTGGATATCCGGCATAAGCCAATAACAATTCTGTGAAATCTACTTCGGTAATATTTCCATGCTCGTCTGGATTTCGTCGTTCAAACTAAGCAAAAAATAATATGGAAGTGCGATAAAAAATGATACACGATGAAATCGAGATTGTTTTACCTCAAGACTCAGTATCTCCCGTTGCAATTGCTGCTGAAAATCCAGGAATTTCTCAATTGTTAATTTCTGATTCATCTGTGGCCCGAAGAAGTATGTCGTTAATGCAGAATTTACTCCCTAAAATTAAGAAATGTTTGAGAGTGAGAGGCGAAACTTCAACTATGGCGAAAAATATAATGCTTAAAAAATTCCAGCACATGATTCAAGTTGATGAGCGTTTAACATTCATCGCGCGCTCGTAAACTCGGTAATTATTAATAATAATTAAGACCTTAAATGTATTGCCTGTAGTGGCGTGATCTCGATGTCGAGTGCCAATACTAGTTTGTTGCCGTATCAGTGTAGCCACTTTTCCAAATTCCTCGGAATCAACATCACCGTCTCCGTTGAAATCGAACATTCTGAAGGCGATTTCGAAGTGACGTCTCGAAGCTATAAAAAAAAGGTTTAAGCTTAAGAGATTTAAAGAAAAGTTCCAATTTTTTTTAAACTTGATGTTTATACATTGTGTTAATTTTAGATAATTTGATCTATTTTTAGTCGTACATTTTTATCAACGTTTTATAACATATACAATTGTCTAATTTAACAATAAGCAACTCACTCGACAATACAGTCAGCAGAAAGATATAATCGGAGAAAGTAATGAGGCCCGCACTGCCCAGCTTATAGAAAATACTATCTTCATCCAGTTCCAATTCTAACTTTGTGTGAATATTCTGCGCCGAGAAAGGGAACATCAGAAGTGAAAAGAGCTTCCTAAACAGCGTGATCTTTTTTGTTGCTAATCTAATTAATATACCTTTGGATCATAACGCCTATACTGGTCCAGCCCAAGACCTAAAAATAAATTTCGTAATTACTACTCTCATATGTAGCTTCTCTTAAATACATCTTACGTAATAAAACACATAAAGCTGATAATTCCATTTATAATTGGAACTCGGAGAATATTAGTTGTTTTACGCAAGCGAAAGAGAACTGTGTTTAAGTTTTGTTCCACGGAGCGTATTCGCAAAGCAATTGGGAGTATGGTGCCATGTAGAGCAACATTTAATTTGAAGTGAAAAACATAAGCGAAGGAGTGGCATAGGATTACCGTCGGGCTGTTTAACGCCGGGCGTCATTGATCGCAAAAAGTCATCTGGCGTCATAAACACCTCGTGCGCATCGTTGCTCGTGACCTGGAGGGTCGCGAAGTAACGGAACACTTTGTCCGGCGTTGAGTAATGTCTCATACGATTTTCGTATTCTATTATCTGTGGCATACATAGTTAGTCGATAATCGCGGGTGTTGAGAGCGTGTAAAGTATCACAAACGAAAGAATTAAAAAATAATAATAATAATTTGATATAACCAGTTAATTTTCTCTCATTGCTCTATAAGTGTTTCTTTTATTACAAATATAATCTGCAGAAAATTAATGCTTATAATAATACGATCTAATCAATTTTAAATAAGCAGCAGTTCCTTATTTAGTATTATGTGACTTATATAATATTACGCAAGATTCAGAATTAGCAGAGCGAGGCAGATGAATCAATTGTCAAAAGGAAAAGGTTTAGTATAGGCAGTTTTGTCAAAGACAACAAGAGAAGGCGATACAGTCTTAAGCCTAGGCTCCGGGTTGATTCCAATATGTCAAAATTCATGGAAACTCTACCATGTGGCTGTTGCATGCCGGGTGTGATAGCTCGAAGGAAATCATCAGGTGTCATATAAGTCTCAGTACCCTCTAAGCTAGTTATTTGGACAGTCGCGAAGTAACGAAATACTTTGTCCGGTGTCGAAAATGCTCTCACTCTATTCTCGTACTCTATTATCTGTAAAAATACTTTAACCTGCATCGTCCTGCTGTACAGATGCATGTGTTAGAGCGATAAACTGTCCAATTTAAAATATCATTTTGTCTAGTTACATAGAAGTTGTTGTTATAAATCATGTATTTTCATATTTACTGCATAATTGTAACATTTCTGCATAGTCTAATTTCTATATATTTAACTAGGAAAAATTGTACAAGTAAACTTAAATGTGTCTTATTTTTCAATAACTTAAATAAAGCTCTTGCAAATAATATAAGAACTTGTGCAATATACAAAGAAACAATTGTGATATTTGTAAAATAATTTTAAACAATATTAACATATATATAATTAAAAGATAATATATAATTAAAAGAGAAGAAACTTGCTTCTTTTATTTTAATTATGTAGTACTACATTGAAAACATGGATATTCAATAAACCTTTCTGTCTCGAAATCCAATCTTTTCTTTTTTGGGTTTCTTCTTCTTCTGTAAATCATGTTCTGTATTTTCCAAGTCTCCATTATCTTCACTGTCTTGTACTGGTAATTCAGCAGCTTGAACTTTGGGTGGTATTTCATCAGACATTATGTTAAAAAAACTGTAAGGTAGTATAATACACAATAGTAAATGATAATTAATTTTTTAGTTGTACTATTTCAAATATTTACTTTTAATAATACTTAATATTTATATTCTTTTCTATAATAATTAATATTACTAACCGTTGCCAGTCAAGGAAACAGCCAAAAATAATTATTGTTGTAAGTATTAATGGAAAGAAATGATAGACTGGTACTTTTTTAGGGGTATGACCGAAATCTCGGAAATCACGAGTCTGCTTATATTGAAACTTGTTTCTATAATTACTGCTGCATTCTGGAATATACAATGCACCAACTGCAAATGGTTTGCGCTGCAAATATCGACGAAGTACACATGTACTTCTATTTAACAGCATTATGACAGCCGTACTACAAGAGAGATAGACAAAATATTTAATTATCAACTCAGAAAACTTGATAATTTAATTGTAATATGAAAAGTAATAGAGAATAGTAATATCAAATATTGTAATATCAAAAGTAATAGAGAATTAAACAAAGTTGTGCAAAAAATACATGTATACATATATATATATATATATATATAAGTGTATATACGTGCACTTTGCATCTTTATATAATTTATACATAGTATCTTATGTAGGTGGGACAATTTGTATTAATATATGTGTACAAATTCTTACCTAACATACGATTATTTTCTAACAATAATTCATAATAAGTGATATTAATAACACTGGATAACAGACGACAATGTCACCATGATGATCAATGACTGCGATTAATGAGAGGGTTGTGCTGTAACGGCAAAATGGTTAATATCGCACGAGCAGGAGCAACGACAGATGGGGCGTTATCTATAGTGAAGCGCCTCTTCACACTCCACAGCGCAAATTTAGTCGCGCAGATTCCCGCACGAGCGCTGCTCTCAGGTGACGCGGGTGTCTAGGGACTTTTGTTTTAAGTAACAGTTCGACTCTGTGCGGAAGATAAAAAGATGCGTTACGTTGTGTATCTCATTAAAAAGATGTAATAATTCACCGTTGTTATCCCTCACGTCCTAAACAGCAACATAGACCCCACAGTTCGTATGTTTCGGTTCTTAGTATCATAGTAACTCATCGGACCAGTCGTCACTTTTTTCACGTAGATTTTTGCACAAATAATTTGATTGACAAGAATCACATATGAGTTTCAAGATTATTAAAAATAGTAGTCGCACGATGGAATGTACAGCAAGCGAAACTCAAAAATTGATACGTAGGTATTCGTGAAAGTAACGACTTTCGCCTTTTGTCAGACATATTGTCAGCTCTAATTTCATTGTTGCAAATATTTGAATTCTCATATTTAGGAGGACAACGCGATGTTTCTCGTAACGCCGATACTTCTCAGTATGCATCAGGAAACACGCGAGAACGACAAGCGGTGTTGTATCTGAAAGAGAAGAGAATTTATAACATCGTCGAATTCTTGATTGGCAATCTGCTATTGCGCCGGCCTTACGATCCTTACGAATATCTCGGTCAACTCTTAGATAGATACATCCTGTCCCGCAGCGGCCTTGTTGACTCTTCTTTTCCTTTTCCTTTCCATAGTAAGTAAATCTTTATGGTAAATATAATACTTCTATGGTTGATTTTTCTGAAATCCTGCAACGTCTTGTAACATTTGGACGCAAAAAATAAAAAGAACAAATGGCAAATAGAATGTAACATATTATACAATGCAACGTAATATGATGAGATTGTGCACGCAAGGATAGCTGGAAAAATATAACGATATTTTGATATGAGCAAACATTTTCACGTAATAAATTAGCTTATGACTTGAGAAAGATGTATATACTTGGGGATTAGCAGGAGAGAAAAAAGTTACTAAAGAGAAATATAAAATAGTGTATAAAGTATAGTTAAAGAGTGTAAACTTCTTACAGGTGCGTGATGTGCGATATACGCGTTACGTTGTGCGCGAAGTTCGCGTCAAAAGCAGGGATAAATTCAATTGAGGATCTTTCTTTTCCTTTCGAGCAGAGCAAGGAAGTAGGTAGGATTGTCGTTGTCTCCCGATTCTGAATCAATTTATTTCGACAATTAAAGTAATATCTGAGCATAATAAAGTTTGCGGGACGACATTTCATTTGGATGCAACTCAGCTCACGAGTTCGTAAAATATCGTCAGTGAGTCATCTTGCATGTTTTTCACAATTTGCACATTGCCGATCACATAATGGCGGCTCTTTGTAAAATAGTGAACAGAAAATGCCGGTGAGAAATAAACGAAATAAAGTACTTCTATAACGCATAAAGATATATATGCATCGTTATTGTGATTTTAGTACAGTAACATTCGCGTAATATTAATTCGTACACGTAATTTTGGCAAATATACGGTTTCGGAGTTAACTGCATGAAAAAGGAAGGGAGGAAATTCGAATAATTTTGATGCCGTGATGCAAGAATGTCTCCTGAATATATTCTTAACACGAAGATGATAAAAAATCAAGTCAATACTGTTAACTTTCATTGTATTATTAGCGAGGATAAGAAAATTAGCGGCAAATAATAGCGTTAAAATATTCAGTTAATATTATATTAATTCGATATTATTACATACAGACTATCTGCTACTAAGTATCTCATCCATCATACATTTATAGTTTAGGTCAACGTGAACAAATAAGTTCTCTGCTATTTTGCAGCCCACGCAAAATTTTAAGTTTGTCTTAAGATTGTCTCGTGAACTTGCTTCTTTCCGGATGTGCGAAGTGTAAACGCGTCTATTAAAGTCATGTGGCGCGTGAACATCGCGCTAAAAGCTTTGTTTGAATTCAATCTGAAGTCAGTCGTCAGTCAGTTCTGCCGTAATGGCGAAATAGTGCGATACTGTTACGTTTAGTACGCGAGCGCGATTTAATCGGTCCGGACGGCAAAAGTATCGGAACGTTCTTATTTCTATGCTGACGAAATGTGGGATGATAATTTTGGTGTTCAGGTAATATTATCTGCGACGACAAGTTTCTTGCGACAGTGAGCCACCTCAGTAAACGATACGTTGGTTGAGATACAGGTTGTCGTTTGTTCGTTAATGGCGGGTCTTCGTAAAGTTCGTTAGCGAAAAAATAGAAAAGCAGAAATGACAGGAGATACAGACTGACGAAATAATGTTTTCGCAATAGTTGACAGCGCGTGTTGTCAAAGTCATTAGTCTTTATTCATTTATTGCTGGCACAATGATTCGGATTCATGTACGTAAGATACGTAAATACGCCAAATATACGGTTGTCTGTTGTAACTGTCGGGCATGAGATATTTCGTGAACATAACCAAAAATCGACCAAGTCATGTTTTGTCAGGCTCGCTAGATTCGATAAATACGGGAATTCACTCGGCGCGATTTCTCAACAGCATTTTGTCCGTTAGACCGACATATTTGTTGCGATGACTCCTACGGTAATATCACGCGTCGGTAAAAAGTATGGATGCGTTCAAGTGGTAACAAGATTTAATACCGACGTTCTACAATTATCGACCGCATGCAAATTTTAAATAATAATCCTACAGATGTCAGCGCACGGTGGTTTTTTTAACAATCTTTTCGGCAGTAAATGTTATATGCGGCAATATCTGTAATAGTAAATATAAAATATAAAGGTAGTAAGGTACAATAATATTATAAAAATTGCCGTAAATTATAATTTATTTTTCTAACAATCTCTCGAAAACTTATCCCAGAGAATTTTTATTCTCTGTTAAAGATTTAATATTTAATTTGATAGTTTTAATCCTCATTTTGGTTTTAAACGAATTTTGGTTTTACGAAGTCTTTCTTCTCGTTCTTGATTTTATAACTTCTAATGAATATTAATTTAAGAAAGAAATTACGCACATGCAAGTAATCGTGATCGAAAATTTCCGGATTAATGTAACATTAGTATCTGCTATCTTTTTCAAGACACGTCGAGAAATCTTTTCTAATGTTTTGATTTATTCCTGTGATAAGATTTTTATTAATATTTATTATATGCCGACTCGAACATTATTAGTGTAAATATAATTCCACTCTAATTCATCGTGTACGCACGCAGTCGTATATAAAACGAGCGAGATTGTCGTCATAATTTTAATTCTATATCAAAGAGGTTTACACAATCGCATTTTTACATTAAACATTAAACTATCGGACACCAATGGTGTCTTCGATAGAGTAATAACGTTTATTTAATCTCTGACTGTAACGTACTTATCTAGTTTCTAGCTGTGGGATTTAAAAATTAGGTACAGGGATTAAAAAATTAGCTAAATTAACTAAATTTCAATTGTATTATATGGATAGCTAACTTTTATCCGTCGGAGTTAGTTTTCAGCTGTGATTTATTTTTTTCCCGTGCGGTGTTTCTCGCCAAGTGTTTTTCTGCTCGTCGAAAGCTGAACGCGCGTGTGTAAACGGGAGTGCCGGGAGTGCCGAATGAAGTGACGCGCGATCGCATTGTACCACCGTTAATCGATGTCCGCATTCGTAATTAGCTGCGTTTTTCCGAACGAATCGCATCAGGGAGTGTGAGTGCCTTGGATTAGTGGAGGTAGCAGTCGCCGGGGTTATGGTGGATGCAGAGGATGGTAAGCGTATAATCATTCTTATTTTATGCGCGTTTATTTGATAAATGCTCCGCTACAAGCGACGTATTCGGAATTAGACGACAGAAGGCACAATTAATTTTTAATCCGACTTGATGCGAATTTATATTCAATTATCGCGCGAATCCGTAATATTGTACAGTGCCGAATAAATAGGATATAATTAAATTAACAGAGCAATCTCTTTTATCATGCGCAGTCATCTATATGAAAATTATATTAGAAACGCGAATTGAAGGTTATAAAAAAAGATCGATAAAAAATCGTGAGAAATAGAGTAGCGATAATTGTTATGTGTACAAAGTGTCTGACGCAAGCCGTCATATATAATCGTAGTTTAGGTCAGTGTGAACAAGAACGTCCTCTACTTTGCAAACAACCACGCAAAATTTCGAGTTATTAATTATCGAAAATGACCATGTACGGAGGTTTCTTTAATTAGTAACTCAAACATTTGCGTGGTTATTAACAAAATGGTGAAGGACTTTTTTTTTGTTCAGAATGGCATAATCTACACAAATATATGACAGCTGTTGGTACTTCTCTAGCGACGGACATTAGATGTTATAATTAAAAGTCTCTATTTCGATGACGTAAAATTGTAGTGTATCTTTCTTTCTCAAACGTTTAATAATATATTTACTCGACGACGATTTTTCTGTTCGTTTCCAGGTCTTCGGGACGCTGAATCACCGCCGTCGGGCAATACTACTATGGTGAGTCCTGTATTTATACGATTTTTTGTCGCGACAATTTTCAGGGACGTGTTATTTCCGCTAACATTGATTAATTTATCCATCGTTATTTCTCAACTTTTCACGCGAGAACGTAATTTTCGTAATCACTTGATCGCACGATACGAAAGTTAACATGAAAGCGATCGCATACTCGCGTCAAATCACACCTTGACGCGTAACGTCCGTTTATCGAGGCTCTCGTTCGCGGTATTTCCTCGCCGATCACACGTCCGAGAGCCTCCGCCGTGCGCTATTTTCACCATTCTCCTTCTATCGCGTTGCGTCGTACGCTTGTTACCTTACCGGGCGAAAATTTCACGCAGGCTTTTTATCGCATTTGTTAAAACCTTCCGCGCGAGCCGGTTCCTCTCGGTTAGCGGTTCCGTGAGTGCGGTGCATTTTCTCACCGGCGTGCACCGCGGTGCATATGTATACGCTCATTTCGCGCGCTGCGAGGCTCGCCGGCGCATTAGCAGGCCGCTCGGCGTCCGGACACGTCCTGCGGACGAGTCCTGGCGTCCGTCCAGGGAAATGGCCTCGCGCGCGCGCGCGCGCTCTCTTCTCCTCCACCCGGGTGTATATAGTCGCGCTCAGGTGCTCGAAGCGGAGGCGCGCGTGTTGCTAATGCGACGAAATGAGCCGTGATGCCGAAGGTTCCAGGCGGCGCGTAAGGCCGGCGAATATAATCGCGGAAAAAGGCGCGCTGTCGTCACACGCGCGCGCAAACCCCGCAAACGATCGACCTCAGCCTTTTTCAGCGTAGCCCCGTCGCCGCCGCCGCTCCCCCGACGTCGTTATTGCGGCGACGCACGTGCGCGCGTTAAACGTTTCTTCAATCGCTGCACTCGAGGCGCGCCGCATCGCGCCGCGATGAGACAGTACGATTTCGTGCGTATTCTCGCGCGCGGAAATTTCCCCGGCTGTTAATTAATTCACGCCGGCAAACGTACGGCTGTATCGCGATGATCGCGACACTTTCGTAATTGGGTGGAATTGAAAACGGTGGGGTTTTCGAGCGGGAGAAGAATCCGCGGAAGAGACGTGAAATTCGGGGTAAATGCATGACGAAATGTCGCGATCCGCGAGTTAGTTTCGAGTGGCGGGGGCTTTGTATTCTCTGATGCAAATTGAAAAGTTACGCGACGACACGTACACCGCCGCCGAGAAGCAGCTCGCTGCGAAACGGGCGATCTGAATCTTCCGAGTTCAGATAGAGGGAGAGCGCGAGATGGGGAATCGACGGGGATTTTCCTAAGAAGTTTCCGAATCGCCGAGTCAATTACAGCCGGCTCTTATCGCGGCTTCATACTTGGACAAGCGTCGCTCGTGGGAAAACTCATAGAAGAGCGTTCATAAAAGCGTCGCATCGCACGCGTGTACACGCGTATGTACAGCAGCGCGGGGGGCATTGTGCGACATGCGGGGGAAGGGGTGCAATGGAGTCTAACCGCGTGTACATACGTACGGGTCCTTTATTGTCGCGACCATTCAGCTTACGACGATTTTCCCCGCGACAAAGGGGCGACGAGGCGAATATGAGGTATCGCGCGACTGCCAAAAAGCTGACGACGACCGGAGAACACGATCGCGCGTGCTTGTGTGTGTGTGTCTGTCTGTCTGTCTGTGCACAGTTTGTGGACATAGGCACGTGCACGCATACAACATGCACACACACACGCACACACACGTGCACCGCGAGACACACGCGACAATCTCGTATTCCCATCGCGCCGTCTCGTTACGGAGCGTCTTGCGGCGCCGCGACGATAAAGGCGCCGGTAACTCATTGTTCATGCCTGGGACAATGAGTGCACCGGCGGGCGACTCGGCCTGATTCCGAACGAGACTTCTCCAGCGACGTAAAACGATTCGCCCATTGGGTCCCGCCGCGCGTTCCGCAGATAAATGAAAGCTGCTGATGCGCTGCCAGCAGTCTGACGAAGTTATTAGTCCCGGGAGCTTCTCCGTTTTATAAAACTGAAAACTCTATCGCGTGTACACCGGGAAAATGCGTCAACCCTCTAATGATGAGGTGAAGTCGGATTCCACCCCCATGGCTTCGTTTATTTTACATCATGCACGCGTTGTTTCCTCTCCTGAAGAATGTTTCATGTTGTTATTTATTTCCTTTACTCGTTTTGCGCATTGATTACATGACAAATGAACGAAACAGAACGTGGGGTCGGATCCGACCCAGCCTTCTTGGATACGTTGAAAATTTGCCTCGCCATTAGAAGATTAATACGAGATGGGAAGCCGTTATATATTAAGAAATGTGATACAGCGACGTGTGATATTATTACTTTTTTTATTACTCTTTTTCTTCCTGGGTAAAAATTAAAAAAAGAACTTGTATTTTTTTTTTGTCTTTTCGTAAAAAATTACAGTTTCATCGGAAATTAACCACTCACTGTTTTATCAAGAGAGAAATATTTTCTCACTTTTCCTTCCTCCATTCCCGAAGAGAAAATCAACGTTTTGTGGACTTGCTTGAATTATGAATGCGACTAACTGTCTATCGTAAATTAGGTAGTGCTTAGCATCAATAATAAATTTCGTACATTGCTCCAAGTGATTTATAGTGAAAAGTGAATGCGTTATTAAGACGCTACACGATTTCCTCTAATTCTCGGTTTTAACAGTCAGTGTAATACTAAAGTTAACCAACGATTTATCGTCATGGATTCTTCTCTGAGCGGAAAAGCGCACGAGGGCCCGCGTCCTAAATTTTCACGTCGTTTTCAAGTCGGTATCGACACGTCAATCTGAATCCTCGACTTCGTCGCGGGGGAGACGAGGGCGGGGTCGAAACCGGGAAAGAAGTCCGACGGGAATGAGATCCCGTGTCCGCAGGAAGCCTCTGTTTGGCCATGGAAATCGGTAAAGGAGGTCAGCGTATGCAAATAACAGGGTCGCGAGGGTTGTCGTGGAGCCGGGAGGGTCCCGTGGGTCAACGGACAGCAACGACGACGACGCGGCGGCGGCGGGGGGTATATATCCACGTTCCGTTCCAGCCCTCTCTTGTTCTTCGTTCTCTTTCTCTCTCATCTCGCGGTCGGTTTTCCCGTCCCTCTGGCGCTTCCATAACTCTCATCTTCTCTCCTCTTTTTCCTCCCTCTCTCTTTCTCTCTCTCTCTCTCTCTCTCTTTCTTCCCCCTTCCCTCCCTCTCGTTTTAGCTTTCGCCAACGGAGCCAGCCTCGCGTTCTCCGCAACGTGCTCGTTTTCCTCGTTCCGAACTCCCGTCCTCCCATCGTCGTCGTCGTCGTCTTCGTCGTCTATCCTCCTCTAGTCGCTACTTCAGTTCCTCGTTCAGTTCCTCGGCTCGAGCTCTCGCAGCAGCGGCGACCGTTACGGCCCCATATATTTCCGCAGCCGGCACCGTCGGCGGCGGAGTCACGTCTACGGACGTAAAGGTGCTTCCCGCGCGCTCCCTTTCTCTTTCCTCGTCTTCCTTCTCGCCTACGCCTCGTGAAAACATTCGATTTTTACGATACGAGACGAGCGAGCTCTCGGGCCCGTCGTCGTCGCCGTCTTCGTTGTCCCCTCCATCGGCATACAATTTTGCGTTTCTGTCTTATCGCTGGAACCTTCCCTATGGTCTTCTCGACCTTTTCTCCACCTTTTCTCTGCTTTTTCTGTCTCCCTATATTTCTTCCGTGTCCTACAGTTTACTTCTCGATCTATCGACTTTCTGACCGAGGGAAATAATTAAATCGTCACGGCAAAATTTCATACGATTATCCTATCAAGTAGATGAGAACATTTGGTTCTCGCTTAACAAAAATTATACTTCGCATTGTCTGGATTATTGACTTTTTATATCATAAACTATTTTTTTAATTTTTCAATTAATTGTTTTAATTTAACGTAACATATTTTTGATACAGATATATAATCATGATTGAATTAATGTTCAATTGAATTTCAGTTAAAATTATACAAATAAATACATGTCTTGAATCTTTAACGCGTAAAGAAATAACCCTACGAATGAAATGACCCCGTAAAGGAATCGCGAATGAAAATTTCCGAACGCGATCAGCGATCGTGTTAAAAAAAAAAAAATGATCCGATTTACTCCTCTATAACCGTCACAGTTGGAGGGTCGTGAAAACAGCTTCAAGCCGGCACGCCGGCCGGGGGGTGACTAATCCACTGAGTGTTAATTAAAATAAAGGCACGGCTGCTGCTATGCGGGTAAGTAGAAATTAGCGTGGGTTCCGCGTGGGGTTGACGGCTAGGGATAAGGGGGTGGCGGAGGGTGGCCCGAGGATAGCGCGGATAGGACCAGATGTCCACCCTTTCGTTGGCACTCGCGTGACACATCGCTGTCGCGTTTTTCAGCGGAGCCGAGTCGCGTTTTGGTTAATGCGACCAGCTATGGACGCACGCTTAATTGCTTTAATTAAAATTCACGTTGCGCCCCGGCGACGTCGCCGTGGTGGACGCTGCTGACGAGCGTCCCGCGCATAAGTTCACTCGTCGGTCGACGTAGTACTTCCGCGTGAGGGAATAGCGGGCTTTCCGTCAGGAAGAATCGGCACGACTTGCCGCTTTTCGCATACTTCCCACGATTCGCGTATCTCTAAATTTCTATGTCGCGCGACGTTTCGCTTTTGCCGACAATTCGTTAAATACGAGGAGAATACCAAAACATGGTAATCTGTAAAAGCAAAATCGGACTCGTTGTCTTGAGGGATGTATGTGTCCTATTAATGTTATCTTTTATTATTTCATTATGTTATATACGTTTGTGATTGTCACGGAATTCCACGTCCGTTCGCATCTGCATTTTCTGACGAAAAGCGAGGCGCATATTTCCCCCGGAACCTTCGAAACGCGTCCGGCCGTACGAGCGGCGAGTTTGTTCTCTTTAAAATTCCGAATGCGAACGCAAGCGAGACGCGGGTCGCGCGGAACCTTCGTAACTTCCTCTCGAGCGACGCGTACACGTGTCGGCGATTCATTACGCGCGTTTC